CGCCAGGGTCTCACCACAAGAGTGTCCAGAGTACCGTTAGCTCGCAGTCTACAGCGGTCTGTTCTCTGAAGCCAATCAGCAAACCATTGATCTATTGATTGATTGGTTTGCACTTCATTGTAAATCAGTAAACCTTCATCCATCCTCACTGAGCGCGCTCAGTGGCGTTCTGCAGTGTATTGTTCTCCTGCAGCTGTCAGTTAACCCTCCGCCCCGTCGTTGTCTGGCTCTTTCTCGTGTACAACTTAACACCTCCCCCAGCGTTGTTTCCAGTCATGTGAGACCAGGCGGCGTTCCCGGCGTTCCGGGCGTTCCCGGCAGCCCCAGCCATGGAGCGCCGTCCTGGAGCTGCCGGAGCTCCGAGGACGAGCCTGTTGTCTCTCTGACTTCCTTTGAAAACAATCCTCCCGAATTCCAGCCGACACTCGATCCACCGCACCGCGCAGAGAGGTCAGAGGTCAGGGCTGTCGGAGAGCAATCAGCTGAACATCATCAACAAACTGATGAACGTCTGCAGACAGGACGTGCTGCGTTCACTGACACTGATCTGGTGTGTTCAAGTGCTGCTGGGAAAGCCCAGCGTTACCACGCGATGAGTTCAAGGCCCAGAGTTGCTGAAGGAAAATAAAGCAGACAGACATTTATTTTTTATAAAATAACAGATTTTCTCTGGAACCAAAGTGGGCGTGTTCGGGCCCCTGGCTGTTCAGACTCCCGGCTGTTAGGGGCCCCTGGCTGTTCAGGCCCCTGGCTGTTTGGGACCCCTGGCTGTTAGGGGCCACTGGCGGTTCGGGCTCCTGGCTGTTCCGGCACTGCGTCTGTTTCTATTGGACGTCCTGCAGCTGTCTGTCTGTAACAGCCGACACGTGGCTCAGCGGCCGTCAGAGGTCGGAGGTCAAACTGTCTGCTGCTAATGTCTCAGCAGAGACTGCAGCACTGAAATACACCCTGACAGCTGAGACACATTATTACTGATCCTATTGATCAGAATACACCGTACGCTATTAGTTCAATTGCTTTAATAATGGGAGTATTGATTACTGATCAGGATCGTGATCAGATAATTGGACCCTTTGTGTGCGTTTATCTTTCACTCAATGAAGGATTAATATTTTTATATATAAAAGATCAATAAACTGAGCTTTATAGTGAAGGAGCAGCTTTATTGATCATGACTGATGGGGGACATGTCAACCCAATCAACTGGATCAGTTTCTGTTTTTATAAACAGGAGATTCTGGCTTTTGCTCTTATTTTGTTAGGAAAGCAACTTCCTGTCTGACCTTTCTTCTTCTCTACAGGAAGTGACTGCAGCTGTAACGTCACCAACAGCCGCTGTGACGAGTCTGGAGTCTGCAGGTGAGACGTCCACCGATCAATAATGATCAATAAGTTGAGCCCTTACTGCCGTCAGGTGTTGACGTGTTCTGTGTTTCCAGGTGCGACCCGGGTTGGGATGGCGAGCGTTGCGAGCGCTGCGTGCCGATGCCTGGCTGCCTGCACGGTTCCTGTCAGCAGCCGTGGCAGTGCAGCTGCGAGCCGGGCTGGGGGGGGCGCTTCTGTGACAAAGGTCAGTGGTACAAGAAGTATCCGGATACTTTACTAAAAAGTACGACTGCGTTTAAAGTATCAAAAGTATGAAAAATGTACGAATGTTGAATTAAAAGATACAAATGATTTTATTATTCTTACAAAAACCTGATTGATTCTACCTGTGATCAAAAAGCGTGCTCACTTCCTGTCTGCTGTCTCAGACCTGGCGGCGTGCTCGGAGCAGCAGCCCTGTCACAACGGCGCTACCTGTGTGATGGAGGACAGCGGTGAATACACCTGTCTGTGTCCTTCAGGTTTCCACGGCAGGAACTGTCAGCTGAAGACAGGACCCTGCCACCAGCGGAGGTCTGACTCCGCCTCTAAAACAACTTCCTGTTGCTTTAAATCGATTACAAACATCGCAATAAATTCTTCTTTGTGTGTTTCCTGTTTCGTCTCCAGGTCTCCATGTAAAAATGGTGGCCTGTGCGAGGATGCCGACGGCTTCGCGGCAGAGTTGACGTGCCGCTGCCTGGCGGGTTTCACGGGCCGGCGCTGTGAGACCAACGTGGACGACTGCCTGATGAGACCGTGTGCCAACGGCGCCACCTGCCTAGACGGCGTCAACCGCTTCTCGTGCGTCTGCCCCGCCGGCTTCACCGGACGCTTCTGCACCGTCAACCTGGACGACTGCGTCAGCCGGCCCTGCCTCAATGCCGGCCGCTGCGTGGACCGCGCCGGAGGCTTTCACTGCGTGTGCCCGTCCGGCTACACTGGCGCCACCTGTGAGACGCCGCTGAGGAGCCGCGACGAGCGTGGCTGGACGACACCTGGGGGTGGGAGGGGGGGTGGAGGAGGCAGGGTTCAAGAACCTCCCCCCTGACCACCGGGGTAAGGAGGGACCAGAGGACGACTGGTAAACCCAGTCGTCATGGCGACGAGGGAAGGCGGCCGTCTTGTTTAAAGGGACGGTGAGCGAGCGTGGCGCCACCGTGCCTATAGTCGGAGGTCCAGCTCATCGCTGGGTAGCTGTGCTTGGCGCGGGGTGCACGCTGAGTGTGGTGGTGGCTTGACCGACCGCCCATCGTACTGGGGCAGTGGGTCGTCTCCGCAGAGAACTGTTGGCCCGTTGCCCCCTGCTGGGCCACGCTGAACATCATACGGCCACAGTGGGCGAGGGCGGCGGCACGAGCCAGTGAGTGTTCAGATCAGCTTCCCTGAAGTGTAGAACAGAGAAGAAGCAAACTGAAACACCTGGAGGTCATTATAGGAGCGCTGGCAGGGTCAGAGGTCAGAGGTCAGCAGTGGTTGACCTCCCAGGTTCCAGCGTCTGACATCATCACAGCAATGTACAGACTCTCCTAGGTTTCAGCTCTTTTTCCTGCACCTGAAGTTCATTTAGTAACTGAAGTTCATTTAGTAACTGAAGTTTCATTTTAGTAACTGGAAGTTTCCATCTTAGTAACTGAAGTTCCATAGTTGTATGTTAGACTGAAGTTCATTTAGTAACTGAGTTTCATTTAGTAACTGAAGTTCATTCTAAATATAAATGACGCATCCCCGATTGGGGGCACGACCCCAGCTCCTGGCTCCGTGAGAACACAGCCCTCGCTGATTTAGTAACTGAAGTTCATCTTAGAAGTCAACAGACCAATAAAGCAGGGATGCTTAGGGCGGGGCTACCTTCGTGATTGACAGCTGCATTCTCAGTGGAGTCCGTCCCAGCTCCAAACACACGCAAAACACTCAGATCAAATTTATTAACACGTACAAAAAACTTTATCATCTGCAAACACACCAACTTTTTATCACTGTACAAACACCAACTTTATATCACTGGGGTAAACACAACTTTATTATCACGTGTACCAAACACACAACTTTTATTAACTGTACATAACACAACTTTATTATACTGCAAAACCACACAACTTTATTATCCACGAACACAACACAACTTTATTATCACTGGTAGCAAACACAAATTTATTATCACTGTAACAAACAACTTATTATCACTCTACAAATACAACTTTAATTTTCACTGTACAAACAAACTTTAATTTATCAGCTGTACAAACACAACTTTATTATCCAACTGTAGCAAACCACAACTTTATTAACACTGGTACAAACACACTTTATTAACACCTGTACAAACACAACATTTATTAGCACTGTACAACCACAACTCTTTACTTAAAGCTGTACAAACACAACTTTATTTACACTGTACAACAAACTTTATTAACAACTGTACAAACACAACTTTATTATCACTCTACAAATACAACTTTATTAAACACTGTACAAACACACAACTTTATTATCACTGTACAACACGAACTTATTAACACTGTACAACACACAACTTTATTACTCACTGTACCAACACAATTTTATTAACACCTGTAACGAACACCAACTTTATTATCCTGTAACAACACACCAACTTTATTTATCAAATGTACAGAGAACAACAACTTTATTATCCATGTATCAAACCCAACTTTATTATCACTGTACAAACAACTTTATTATCACTGTACAAACACAACAACTTTATTATCACCTGTCAAACACAACTTTTTATCACTGTACAACAAAACTTTTATTAACAGCTGTACAACACTACAACTTTATACACTGTACAACACACACTCATTAACACTTGTACAAAACAGCACAACTTTAATTAACACTGTAACAAACACAACAACTTTATTATCACAAGTACAAACACAACTTTATTAACCACTGTACAAACACCACACTTTATTAACACTGTACAAACCACAACTGTTATATCATGTAGCAAACAACCACAACCTTTATTATCACTGTACAAACACACAATTTATTATCACTGTACAAACACAGCCAATTTTATTATCCA